AGAATATTTATTCTCATTTCATTACAATTTCTTTAATTTTCTTTTGCCTCTCTTACCGGTAGCCATTTTGATGGATGTTCGCCGTATGATCGGTGGGCCAGGGTTAGATTCATGTTCATCTGTAAAGAAAGTGATATACAGTTTTATATGTAGTTTACAGTATTTCTTATATGAATTGCACGAAGTTTACAGCATTTTAATTCTTAAAAAAAAAACACCCCTGAAAAGTGATACTTGACTTAATTCGAATCCATTAGTTTTTAGTGGAGACTGAGTAGTAGTTTTTTTCTGACTATGGCATTTCAATCCTATAAAGAGTAATAAAATAGGAAAATCTCTTATCGAACAAATTTTAATAGATGTATATTGGGGCATAACGTCATGAAACCGTGCTATATATAATGCATTTTAAACTGTCTCATCTATCAACAAAGGATTCACCCTTTACACGCTAGAGATTTGAATGAAAAGGCGAAAATAACGAACAGTTATCAGTCTAAAAACTCTTAAAACAATACATATATGTAAAGAGAGCAAAAATACGTCTTTTTAAAATCTAAAAGGTGGGATCAGGTGCCTTGGAGGAGTAAGCATCCCCCGTTGTCCGGTTACATCCGCCATGAGCTCTATGTATTGATCAAGTGGACAGAGGATTCCCGTAGGTAAATTCAGTCTAGACATAATAAAGGCCTAGAGATTAGTTTGTAGCAAGTAAAACAAAATATGACTAATGATAGGTTAAATTTCCTAACAAGGTCAATATAAAAATCAAAGAATTTACGAATTGCTGACTTTAAACCACATTGTTAAACTCCCTGTAATCTTAACCCATCCGTCGGTGGTCTGTCTCGGTTTAAATACTGATCGAACTCGGAGCATGTTCAACACCATTTGCTGGGGATTTAGGTATATTACTACATGAATGAGGAAAGTTGAAGATGGAAAGTTTAAATCATTCCATTTGTCATACAGATTAGCAATAAGTTGGTCCTTATAGTCTGTAGATAATAAAACGTCCAAATATGAAAGAGGTATGACAGTTTCTGTGGTGTCTTTATTTTCAAGTTCACAGGGATATATTGAATCGACTCATGGAAGAAAGTAACTATTGTTAATTGACAGTGCATCGTCGATATATATCTAAATGTCAATTTGAAAGATACAGTAAATGTTTTTTTTTCTCATTCATATTTTTTTAATAAATTCTGCTTCGTAGGAATTTACAAGCAGGTTATCTTATGAAGGATTGGAATAAGTGTAATTTTTCTGTGCGACGTGCAGAGTCACCTTTTAAGGCATTTTTCTGAGACCTAGTTCGTAACTTGTCTAAAATTTTAAAGAAAATTGAATACTAGTTATGGACTTATAAAATGGATGTACACCTCTAGTCTATAGTATTATAAAATTTTCAAATTTTGATGCGTTTCTTAAAATGACAAATTTCGACCCAAATTCAACTTTTTATTGATATAAGTTTTAGAAAACGTGAATGTTAACAAGCCATTCAAGCATCAAGGTTATTTTCATATTGTGGCCCACGAAAACAAAATTTTTCCTTTGAAATATATTTTTGATATATACTTACTTCATAATCTAAGTAAGCATCTTAAATGTGGTTATTTAGAGAATGTTTGGGTCAAAAATAGTTTTGGTAAGTTTTAGAAAAAGCAGATAAAGGTTTGCTGGTTGATTGACTGTTGTCAGACAGGAAGGATGCCATTCTTTGAGACTATATAAACTTGATTTAACAGTATTTCTTAGCTTTCTTTCTTCCAAGTAAGGAAAGGTAAGTCATAAACATAAGCTATGGGTCAATGGCAAATTATTGCTTAAGGTAAATGCTGTATTTATTTTAAGGTCAACTTAGCACTTTTTACACTTTTAGAAAATTTAGCTGAAATTAGGGTACGTACTATTATACTCACTTACAAATATTAGCTTCTCTTTTGTAAAAGGAAAATAATATTTATGTGTATTTCAAGAAATTATAACATAATGTCACTATTTCTAGTGTACTTTTTTAGTATAGTTTAATTACCAAGAAAAAAAAATTATTTCAACGTATTGCTTAAAATTAAAATACTTTACCTTGATTTCATTCATTTAATGTAACAACATTCATGAAGTTGTGCTTAAAGTATATATTATGTATGATAGATAGGTGAAATGTTTTATTTTTTCTCCATGTAATTCGTACATATCGGTATTTCCTTAATTTCAGAATGCAAAATTCTTTTTAATTACTCTTTTTTTTTAATTTTTATATCTGCATAACAACAGTATTAAATATGATATGTTTTCTTTTCTTGAATGTAAGACCATATCACATCCGTGAAATACCTTACCTATATATATTTCTCTAAACTTCAAGTATTACATGAATGGTAAATTACATTTTTTTCGTCAATTTGTAATTTTCATTTTTTCTAAATATGTTAAGATAATAATTTTGCAGAATTCACCATTTATAGAATGGCAGCATAGAATAGAATATCAATCAATTCTGTCTCTTGAGTGAAAAAAAATATATCCAACCTCAGAATATTTATTCTCATTTCATTACAATTTCTTTAATTTTCTTTTGCCTCTCTTACCGGTAGCCATTTTGATGGATGTTCGCCGTATGATCGGTGGGCCAGGGTTAGATTCATGTTCATCTGTAATGAAAGTGATATACAGTTTGATATGTAGTTTACAGTATTTCTTATATGAATTGCACGAAGTTTACAGCATTTTAATTCTTAAAAAAAAAACACCCCTGAAAAGTGATACTTGACTTAATTCGAATCCATTAGTTTTTAGTGGAGACTGAGTAGTAGTTTTTTTCTGACTATGGCATTTCAATCCTATAAAGAGTAATAAAATAGGAAAATCTCTTATCGAACAAATTTTAATAGATGTATATTGGGGCATAACGTCATGAAACCGTGCTATATATAATGCATTTTAAACTGTCTCATCTATCAACAAAGGATTCACCCTTTACACGCTAGAGATTTGAATGAAAAGGCGAAAATAACGAACAGTTATCAGTCTAAAAAAACTCTTAAAACAATACAAATATGTAAAGAGAGCAAAAATACGTCTTTTTAAAATCTAAAAGGTGGGATCAGGTGCCTTGGAGGAGTAAGCATCCCCCGTTGTCCGGTTACATCCGCCATGAGCTCTATGTATTGATCAAGTGGACAGAGGATTCCCGTAGGTAAATTCAGTCTAGACATAATAAAGGCCTAGAGATTAGTTTGTAGCAAGTAAAACAAAATATGACTAATGATAGGTTAAATTTCCTAACAAGGTCAATATAAAAATCAAAGAATTTACGAATTGCTGACTTTAAACCACATTGTTAAACTCCCTGTAATCTTAACCCATCCGTCGGTGGTCTGTCTCGGTTTAAATACTGATCGAACTCGGAGCATGTTCAACACCATTTGCTGGGGATTTAGGTATATTACTACATGAATGAGGAAAGTTGAAGATGGAAAGTTTAAATCATTCCATTTGTCATACAGATTAGCAATAAGTTGGTCCTTATAGTCTGTAGATAATAAAACGTCCAAATATGAAAGAGGTATGACAGTTTCTGTGGTGTCTTTATTTTCAAGTTCACAGGGATATATTGAATCGACTCATGGAAGAAAGTAACTATTGTTAATTGACAGTGCATCGTCGATATATATCTAAATGTCAATTTGAAAGATACAGTAAATGTTTTTTTTTTCTCATTCATATTTTTTTAATAAATTCTGCTTCGTAGGAATTTACAAGCAGGTTATCTTATGAAGGATTGGAATAAGTGTAATTTTTCTGTGCGACGTGCAGAGTCACCTTTTAAGGCATTTTTCTGAGACCTAGTTCGTAACTTGTCTAAAATTTTAAAGAAAATTGAATACTAGTTATGGACTTATAAAATGGATGTACACCTCTAGTCTATAGTATTATAAAATTTTCAAATTTTGATGCGTTTCTTAAAATGACAAATTTCGACCCAAATTCAACTTTTTATTGATATAAGTTTTAGAAAACGTGAATGTTAACAAGCCATTCAAGCATCAAGGTTATTTTCATATTGTGGCCCACGAAAACAAAATTTTTCCTTTGAAATATATTTTTGATATATACTTACTTCATAATCTAAGTAAGCATCTTAAATGTGGTTATTTAGAGAATGTTTGGGTCAAAAATAGTTTTGGTAAGTTTTAGAAAAAGCAGATAAAGGTTTGCTGGTTGATTGACTGTTGTCAGACAGGAAGGATGCCATTCTTTGAGACTATATAAACTTGATTTAACAGTATTTCTTAGCTTTCTTTCTTCCAAGTAAGGAAAGGTAAGTCATAAACATAAGCTATGGGTCAATGGCAAATTATTGCTTAAGGTAAATGCTGTATTTATTTTAAGGTCAACTTAGCACTTTTTACACTTTTAGAAAATTTAGCTGAAATTAGGGTACGTACTATTATACTCACTTACAAATATTAGCTTCTCTTTTGTAAAAGGAAAATAATATTTATGTGTATTTCAAGAAATTATAACATAATGTCACTATTTCTAGTGTACTTTTTTAGTATAGTTTAATTACCAAGAAAAAAAAATTATTTCAACGTATTGCTTAAAATTAAAATACTTTACCTTGATTTCATTCATTTAATGTAACAACATTCATGAAGTTGTGCTTAAAGTATATATTATGTATGATAGATAGGTGAAATGTTTTATTTTTTCTCCATGTAATTCGTACATATCGGTATTTCCTTAATTTCAGAATGCAAAATTCTTTTTAATTACTCTTTTTTTTAAATTTTTATATCTGCATAACAACAGTATTAAATATGATATGTTTTCTTTTCTTGAATGTAAGACCATATCACATCCGTGAAATACCTTACCTATATATATTTCTCTAAACTTCAAGTATTACATGAATGGTAAATTACATTTTTTTCGTCAATTTGTAATTTTCATTTTTTCTAAATATGTTAAGATAATAATTTTGCAGAATTCACCATTTATAGAATGGCAGCATTCCGTTCATCACGAATGTAAGTTAACAATTTTTCAAATTTTGATTACAATAAGTCAAAAGACTGGATTTTTTTTGTTTTCAATTAGCCCCACCCTAATATCAGAACCCCTGACCCTGGGGCCATAATATTCACAATTTTGGAAGAGGCAGCCTTATTTATCATAACTTTGTATTGGTTGTAAGACTCAGGAGCAGTAAAGAATTTAGGCATTTTCACTATATAATCAATAGAGCCCCAAGCTTACCTCAGAACCCTAAACCCAGAGCCATGAAATTCACACTTTTGGTAGAGGCATTTCTAGCTCATTATAACTATTCGCTTAATTAGTTTGTTTAATATTCCGGAGCAGAGAGACATTTCCTCCTCATCATAAATATTCACTTGGTTAGTTTTTGTTTAATACCAAGGAGCAGAGACGATCGATTGATTGTAAGTTGTTTAACGCCTCATTACTCGAGTAGAGACGTCACCATGTACCGGTGAAGAGTTTCAAATTTTGAAATTTACCCGACACTCAGGGCCATTGAGCAGTGAGGGTTCTTTATCGTACCAACGCCTACCGTGGCACGGGCCCTCGGCTTTTAAGGTGTCATCTGAAGGACCCGCAACTTTCACTTCAAGTGCCGAGCGCATGACGAAGGAATATTTGCCACCCATTTTTTTTATCAACTTAGGTCAGTCCCAGCCGATAAACAAACTCAAGACCTCCCGATCACGGAGCGAGCGCTCTCCCGACTGAGCTTATGTGAACGGTGAGCGAAGAATAATATTTTAAAAGAAATAATGCATTTTCACTGCATTATCTATTTAGCCCAGCCCTAGTACCAGAACCCTCGGCCCAGTGCCCTTGAAAACCAGACAATAAAAACGCCATCCAAATTTCTGCAAAATTTTACAAAATACAAATTTAATTTATAAAGATATAAATATCTTTTTAATTAAAATTTTGTGGTGCTCCAGGTCACAATCCCAAATCTAATAATGAAGCAATAATTGTTACTATACATTTAAAATAAGATTTTACATTTTGGAATTCGCATTTAGTTAAAGATTAAAAATAGTCTAATAATAAACATCAATGACATTACTTTTAATTAAATTTTAGCTTGTCCACGAACATAACGAACAATCCTCGTATACAGATATTTTATTTCATTTTTGTGTTTGGCAGTGAAACAGGCATTCGACACCTCTCAGAGTCCGTGTTTGTGGGGATGTGTAGTGTGTTTGGAACTTCGCAATTGGTGGCTATGAGAAGAGATTTGACAGACTTCAATGAATTAATGTTTCAAAAATTGAGTACAGGAACTCAGCTCAGAAGGATGTTAAGTGGAAGTTATAAAGAAGGAATCAGAATGTCGGGATCTGATATGGACTTTATGTTTTGGAACAAAAACGAGCAAGTGATTTGGGACCTGTCTCAGACTAGGTATTACAACATGCCCAGTCAAACACTTCTTCTAGCAGATACCTCTGAAAGCCCACCAGGATTTACTCTACTGCAGTTGTTAACACCAAGAACAAATGTTCACATTCTGTTAGCGTGTGTCAAAATAAATGACAGGCTTTATATATCTAGTTCTATTTATAAAATGATCACGTTTTCGTCAGCACTTCCCGATTTTACAATACATGGACCATGTGTTAGTGGAAACGTCGGAGGTATGGACGTTGATGATGCACACTGTTTTGCCAGTGCCTTTTGGCCAAAATCAGCCTCCTCATGGGTAGAGAGATGTCATTCATGGCCCCATCCGCAGGTTGTTCGTCATGTGGTAAAACATGGATGTCACTTTGTACCAATAGGACATAAACTAGGTAACCATGAATACAACGAATGGAGAATTTCTTTTTCACAGGCAGAACAAAAACTTATGTACTCTTTGAACCACTGTCAATTTTTAACTTACGGTTTATTCAAAGTGTACTTGAAAGAAGTAATTAACTATGGTGTAAGTACTGAGGAAAAATTATTGTGTTCCTATCACATGAAGACGGCTGTTTTCTGGGTAATTCAACAAAACATAATGCCTAACTGGTGTCCACAAAATTTCCTCTGGAGTTTCTGGATCTGTTTTAAACATATTCTTAAATGGGTGTATGAGGGAGTTTGTCCAAACTTTTTCATTCCTCAAAACAACATGTTTCTGACTAAGATTCATGGTGAAGCACAAACGATTTTATTTTTACGTCTGTATACATTATACGAGCTGGGTATATCATGCCTCTTACAGAGCCCTTCTATCAGATCATATTTTATCCGAGTCCTTTGTAATCTATCAGCCCAAATATGTACAGATGAAAGGAGTCTGGCGTCCGAAAATAGTTTTGATACAGAAGTAATTCCTGAATTAATTAGTATGAATTTAGGTCTCTTCACTAACCTAAATGGTAGTATAAAGGCCTTGCACACCGTTGAATTAGTGATTAGTTCACACCCATTAGTTCAGTTCCACTTTGTTTTTTTGCAGATGCTAACAAGATTGATACTGCGAAGAACTGCCTTAATATTGCACTGTATGTACACAGATAGTGGTGCAAATAAACGCAAGTACACTGCTAACAAAATGTCTAACTACATGCTGAAGCTAGCAGTTAAGTTTGGTTTTATTTCTGATATTTTGTACGTTGCAATGTATTATTACAAGACTCTTAGATATGATGAAGCTTTATCTGTCATACAAACGGCAAAGGCAAAATTAGCACAGACATATCAGATGCGTTCAACAGTTTTTACGTATGTAGCTAGCTGTCCTGAGGATGTGAGGCGTCGGTCCTGGTTTACAAAGATAAGACATGCAGTGTTACATTTTATACCACTTGATCCTGACATCTGTTATATCAAAGAAATAATTTTGGAACAAATGTGTATAATTCAAAAAAAGAGATATGTGTTATTTATTCCAGTATTTGTACTGTTTCCTGCACTTGAATTCTTGTGTTACTGTTATGTAGACACAGAAAAAACACGATTAGCTTTATCTGATTTACAGGCCGTGGTACATTCTGATGACTACGTATATATACCCGATCCATGTAGAGAGATATCATGGCAGATCCTAGGGATATGTCAAGAAATCACAGGGGACCTCCAAGCAGCTCTATATTCCTACCAACAATCTCTCAAGCAATATCCACTCCATAATATACAAACTGCTACAATAATACGAATCATCCTTTTGTTTTACAGACTTTATTTTAGTTAATTAAAAAAATATATAAGATTGAAATATTAGGTCTTACAAAGATTCTCAGTTGCGTTTTGCTGAAGAACTACAAAGAAATAAATTGCTGACAACGCAGATGGTACCACTTTCTCTACAATTTTGAAGGATGTCTTGGCAGGTCAAATGTTACTCTACATAAACTTACCAAGGACACCACTACCAAAAAGAATTTTTAAAAAATTCAGAAAAATCAAACTTCTTTTGTGACATACTAGTGCATAAAGGGTGATCATGATGTAAGACGCAGATATAAAGGTCTGCCGGATACTTCACAATATCAATGTTTTAATGCTTGACATAATATATACTAGTATATAGTTGTTTTTATTTTAATACATGTATATCATATTGAATGAATTATATGAAGTAAAATCTGCCAAGCGGATTAAAAAACATTGGCGATTTGTTATTTTTCAGATTGCATGATACATGTACCATTAAAGCTATAACCTTTTTTTAGATTACCTCTAGCATGTAGGTAAATGAAGTTGTCGTTTTGTACATATGCGACATGTGTATCTCTGGAAACCTCACTTACCTACGAGGGTTGTCCAAAAAGTTCGTGGACAATGACGTTTTTCTGAAAATAAATGGTTCTGTATAAATCTGTTGTATATCAAAATATTTCTTATGAAAAAACAAGTCAGAATGATTTAATTTTATTGATGGAACGTAATATTTTTGTAAAATTCGGGGTCTTTAGAGGTCGTGGATAGTGCGCACGGACCAAGGTTAAAATGATGTAAACTCTGATATAAAGAGTTTGGATTTAAATGATTATTTTCTGTATAAAACAAATCAAAAATTAATAAGAATTTTATGTAACACAAATAAAGGGGTTATTATCATTTTATGATATCTTAAATATCGCTTTCTATATAGACAACGAAAATACATAAAGAAAACCTTAACAAGTACGTGTCAAAACTCAGCAGAAAAAGTGACGTCGTCTGTCGGCACGGGGCAGCGTCCGGTCAAAAAATTAATTTTTATAACGGTTGAAACAATGTCAAAGACACAATATTTGTTAAAACAACTCAAAATGATTGAATTATATTGAATGTATCGATTTGGGATTCGTATGTACAATTTTTCAACAGTGTGTACAAATTCGAAGACACTACAAGATTTTAAAAACACATGTAATTAACTGTAATTGGAAATTTCTATTCATGACGTTGTTATAAATCTAGCGCAGCGTCGGACTGGGCTGTTCAGTTTGGGTGTACAAACTGTCAATTTAGATGACGCTCGTAAATATTTGTGTGCATTGTTTTGAATTTTAAAAATTAAATAAATTATAATCTATACTTAAAGATTATTGCTACTACTTCGAAATGCGTTGCGCCTTAAAAAAGAAATGTAGTGTGTGTCCATGAACATGTGTTAAGTCAAAATCCACATGTTTGACGTTATAATGAAATTAGCGTAACGTCAGACTGGTCCGTGCGCACAATCTGCGATCTTTAAAGACCCCGATTTTACAAAAATATTAAGTTTCATCAATAAAAATTAAATCATTCTGACTTATTTTTTCATGAGAAATATTTTGATATACAATAGATGCATATAGAACCATTTATTTTAACAAAAACGTCATTGTCCACGAACTTTTTGGACAACCCTCGTATAGCTTTTATAATACTGGTAGAGAAAAATTTAAAACAATATAAATGAAGGATATAAAGATAACTAATAGTATTGAATATCAAAGTCCATAAAACAATACGAAAAAGGGACCAGAGCAAACATCGATCTCCAAAACATCAGGTCCCATGGAGGAGTGAACAACTTCCCTTCTGACCGGTCACACCCGCCGTGTGCTCCATTTCCTTTCTAAACACGTATGTGATGAAAATGTTTCAAATAAAGGGTATGGAGACAACGAACAGTATTCAATATCAAAGTCCATAAAAAATTACAAAATAGTATGGAAAGCCAGCAGGTTCAAAATTACAACTCTGTGTAATTCTTAAAATGTACACATGTAAACTAGAATTTGTAAACTGTAAATCTTAATTTCTTAGTTTTAATTTTTCAATTGTTTTTTCCACAGTTTGTTAATTGTAAATTATACAGCATAAATTGAGAAGTATAAAAATGTAAAATGCAAGTCATGTAAATGATCACGTGTAATTCGTAGACTGCGATTTGTCAACTTATGAAATGTACTTCCGTGATTTGTAAATTATGCAAGGTTGCATATTAAGACGAAAGAGGGCGTTATAAGGGTGGAAAGTCGATTCGCCCCAAAGCTGAAAAAGATCCTTTACCAACTCAGTTTTGTGATATGCATGCATATTATGCCTTCAAACGGTCTCTTAAGTTGTTTATTAAGTTTGATACAGAAAAGATCTGGGATCTAAACACACAAAGCTTCGCTCGTATATACAGAGGACAGGCGCGGATCTCGGGATTTTTTTCCAAAACGGGCGAGGTGCACTCCAGTCAAAATATTCCAAACCAAAAATTTTTCGAAAAGCAAAAAAAAAAAAAAAAAAAATTTCATGTTGCTTGGTGTGTTTTATGTGTGTGTTTTCTAAAGTCATTTTCTATGTGCTTCAGTATAAACATTTAATAACTCTGTACATTGCGGGGGAATGGGGTCCAGTTTCCACCCCCCCCCCAACCTTCTAAATCCTATAAATAAGCTAAATTTTTCAGTTTTATAAAGAAGCGTAAGGACTGGGCACGTAGTAACGGTAGTATCGAAAGCGGCTCCCCTTCCCGCTTTTTCTCTGTTTTACTGTAATTAAGTATCAAAACCCATCATAACTATGGATCGAATTGTCTTGTGAAAAAGTAACCCCCCCCCCCCTTCAGGGTTTTCAGATAAAAATGTCAATTATTTTTCTGGGTGCCCCTTTCAAAAATTCATGAGGACTAGATATTTCACGTGTTCTGTTTTTGTGCGATCGTTGGGCCCATGGCAGGGAAGCCTTTTTTTCTGAAATACATTTTGTTTACGAGGATGCATGGAATAAACTATATGTAACCCAACAAAACTGAGATGCTTCGTCCATACCTTTATGGGATGTGTTTGGCTCTATAAAATCGTCTGAATAATGTATACAAATTCAAAGAGTAATGGGTGTATGTTGGGGGGGGGGTTAAAATGGACAATTCCTGTTGATAAGCTGTTTCAAATATTTATATTTGACTGACTTGGTATTTCATAAGAAATATTTTGATATACAAAAGATATATATAGAACCATTTATTTTCACAAAAACGTCATTGTCCACGAATTTTCGGAAAACGCTCGTATGTACGCTAACAACGTCATATCAGGTCAACATTAACCTTTTTCGTCAGTAGCCCGGCTCAAAATAAAAATTAATCCTACTGAAAGTATACTTTTTTTCCCAGAGAAATGATTCAAATATTCTCTAACTGGTTTTATAATATTATAAATAATAGTAATTTGGTGTTTTTCAGAACCTTCAATGATAATTATCAAGTTCTTTGCTTTACAAAGTGATGATCCCACGAATACACGTCATATCATATTCAACTTGTAATAAACTTGCTATTGACATGAAGTTGTTGAATGATTAAGGTCAGATGTAAAAGTCATGTGTCACACACAGTAAACCTTGTTGGTAGCCTAGTTTTGTCAATGACATGATTTGTTATTTGTTAAGGTCACTAGGTAATACGGTCCCTCCTACTATCAATGAGTAATGAGTTTAATTTTTATTTTTTCAAAGGAACCAATTACATAAAGTTAAATCGTCTATATCATTGTAAATAACAATTTAAGAGGTGTGATGATCGTGATATAAACAGCCTAGTTTTGCCAGACGTAATAACCTACCCAGTGACATGGAATTACATATTTTGATTCTATTCAAGAAATAAACACAACATACAAAGGTGAATGACCCTAACCCGATATATTGGACATTTTTATTTACTTACACATATTTTCTTATTCGTCCATGATAATTAAAATTACTTAACAATGGCCATTTCCATTCCTACGTCGATACGATATATCCAGGAGAGCTTGAGATTAAAGACACGACAAAGTCTGACACGTCTGTTTCATACTTGGATATTTTACTTGACAAAGACGTTAATGGTAATCTAACAATCAAGCTCTTTGATAAACATGATGACTTTAACTTTTCTATCGTCAACTTCCCTTACTCATGCAGCAATATTCCTTCATCACCTGCATACGGAGTGTATATATCTCAGTTTATTCGATACGCAAGAGCATGCTCTACGTATGAGCAATTTCTAAAACAAGGTAAATTATTGACAAGCAGGTTGATGAAACAAGAATATCATCAGTCTTGTTTAAAGTCATCATTTCGTATGTTCTATAGTCGATACAATGATCTTGTCAGCAAATACAATTTATCATTGAGTCGAATGCTTACTGACATTTTTCATACCAATTGTAAGTCCATTATTTATACACTGAAGTGACGACAGATTTTTCCGTTATTTTTTTACCATGACAAGGAGCACAAGGCGGGTGTGACCGGTCAGCAGGGGATGCTCACTCCTCCATGGCACCTGATCCC